GTGCCAGAGAAAGTAGGTTTGTTGTGTAAGAGGGAATTAGTGCTCAGAAATCCTTTCCATGAACTCAGCAGCCCAGATCTGCTTCTGCAGCAGGAGCAAAGCCACACAAAAGCCTTCAGCCCAAAGCAAAAATAGCTGGCCCGAGCCCCAGCCCTGCCTGGCCACTGGCTTTGGGTCACAGACACACTCAGGGACTGGGCAGCACCAGCTGTGGGCTGGGACCCCCATCCGGGCATCTCCTCTGGGTGTGTGTGTGTGCTGGGAGCCCCATCCCCATCCGGGCATCTCCTGTGTGTGTGTGTGTGTGTGTGTGTGTGTGCTGGGACCCCCATCCCCATCCTGGCATCCTGGCATCTCCTCTGTGTGTGTGTGTGCTGGGAGCCCCATCCTGGCATCTCTTGTGTGCTGGGGGCCCGGTCCTGGCCCTGCCCGTGTGCCAGGAGCCGGTGCCAGCAGAGCCCCTGCTGCTGCCAGTGCAGGGATGTGCTGCGCGTCCCCCAGCAGAGCTGTGGCCATGGCCCTGCTGCCCATTCCCCGAGCCCTCACAGGGAGACCAGGGCATCATGACTGACCTGCTGTGAGCAAGAGACACGTCCTGGGTTCAGCTGCTTTCTGCCTGCCTGAGCTCTTTGCTTTTTCTTGTTGCTACCACTTTTTATATGGAAAAAGCCTCCAGGTTTCTGCTGGTGGTGAAAGGCTGTAGCTCTGCGTCCTGCTGTGGGCAGTGCCTTTTCTGCATTGTGGAGATCATTATATGGGCACTTCAGACATTCTTCCCACCACAGTGGAGCTCCAGGGCTTGGTGGGGGGGTGATGAACCTAAGCACGTGTGGGTGCTGGGCACAGCATCATGCAAGGACTCTCCCAGAAGCTTCCTGTGGCCAGGACAGGGTGGCAGCTCCCTGATGAGGGCCTGAGATGAGGGAGCTCCTGCCTCAGCTAATGCTGGGGGTTGTTCTTTCCTCCTGCACAGTTTTTGAAGAGCCCGAGGACCCAAGTAACCGGTCGTTTTTTTCCGAGATCATCTCCTCAATCTCTGATGTCAAATTCAGCCACAGTGGAAGGTACATCATGACCCGGGACTACCTCACTGTCAAGGTGTGGGACCTGAACATGGAGAACCGGCCCATTGAGACCTACCAGGTGAGTGTGGCACAGCCAGGTGCACGCAGCAGTGGAGCACCCAGAGCTCCCTCCTGAGCCAGCTCTGGGCCAGTGGCAGGAGGGGCGGGTATGCCCCTGTTGTGTGGGAGCTTTATGCCCGTAAATGGTGGAAAGCAGGGGGGTTAAATGAGGGCTCAGGTGGCCTGGTGAGTTGTCACCATGTCCCCGGGCTGGGGGTGGGTGAGGAGAGAAAGCTCAGGTGCTGGCAGCTGGGAGAGCCCTGTGGCAGGCCTGGTGCAGGGCAGTAGCCCTGTCACTGTCACCCTTTGCCAGGGGATGTCCCCTGGCACTGCCTGGGGGTGCCCAGGCCGTGTGCAGTGTGGCTGGAGGTGCTGGGAGAAGAAGGGTGGCTGTGGGAGGGCACAGGATGCCAGGCAGTGCCCAGCGCTGCCAGCTGGGCTGTGGTGAGTATGGGGCACCCCCTGTGAGCCAGGCTCAGGGTGCCAGCCCTGGGCTGCGTGGCCACTGTGGGGGCTCAATGCTGTCCCTCCCACCCGCAGGTCCACGACTACCTGCGGAGCAAGCTGTGCTCGCTCTACGAGAACGACTGCATCTTCGACAAGTTTGAGTGCGTCTGGAACGGCTCTGACAGGTGAGCACGTGCTGGGGTGCCTGCCTGCAGCCCCGGCATGCTGGCTGTGGTTTGGCACAAGGGCTCCACGGCCCCTTGGCAGCCCCTTCCCTTTGGCTGGGTGCGGGGTCTGGGCAGGGGCATCAGGAGCCACCTACACCTGCAGCCTGTACGCAGGTGGGGATGGCTGAGGGTCCCACTCTCTCCTGGACAGATCAGTCCCACCTCTCTGTCACCCACTGCTGGAGGAAGGTGGTGAGGGGTTTAGCTTCAGATTGCCAGAATCTGGGGATAATGAGCATCTGGGTGTGACTTACACCGAGCTAGGTAGCAGGAAGTGTGTGAGCCCCTGGCAGGGCTGTCATGGTTTTTGTCTGAGCCATCAGAGTGAGCTGACAAAGCACAACTGGGCCCGAGACAAATTCCAATGCTTACCCAGATCTCATTATGCCTCTGAATGTTCAGTCTTGCTCTGGTCACCCGCAGTTTGCCTCTGAAAAGGTGTGAAAACCACCTGTCCTTCCCCGTTGCAGTGTCATCATGACCGGCTCCTACAACAACTTCTTCCGCATGTTCGACCGCAACACCAAGCGCGACGTGACGCTGGAGGCGTCGCGGGAGAACAGCAAACCCCGTGCCATCCTCAAGCCCCGCAAGGTCTGCGTGGGTGGGAAGCGCAGGAAAGACGAGATCAGTGTGGACAGTCTGGACTTTAGCAAAAAGATCCTGCACACAGCTTGGCACCCCTCCGAGAACATCATCGCTGTGGCAGCCACGAACAACCTGTACATATTCCAGGACAAGGTTAACTAGGAGGACCAGGTCTTCTTTAGGAGTCTCATGTACTGATACCAGTAAACACATCGTTTCAACTGTTCCTTTTCTTTTTCTTTCTTTCTTTCTTTCTCTCTTTGTTTTTCCTTTCCCTCCTGTTCTTTGTTCAGTCCCTGCTCTGCAGATGGCGGTTGTGCAGAGGAGCGCTGGGGCACTCCAGCCCAGGGGCCACTGGGGGCACTCCCAGACACCAGATTTACACAGGGCAGAGTGAGGATGCCAGGCCTGGCTGTCCCTGTCCCCAGGCACGTCCCCAGGCAGTGCTGGGTGGCAGCAGCCGATGCTGAGGAGGTGATGGGGAGGGGGCTGTCAGCTGGAAGGGATTGATGGGGTAACACACCACGGGCTCTGGCCAGCTCTGGTGGCAGTGGTCCCACTCCAATTGCTTTCAACCTGATCCCAGAAATATTCCACCTGTTGTGTGGAAGATTGGAATGTTGCCTCCCTTTGCCATTTTCCACATTTGTCTTTTTATTACAATTATTTTGTTTTACTAACAGAGACAGCAAAACCAAACGTAAAATGGAAAAGTTCAGTTTTGCAAAGGACAAGCTTAAGGAGCAGGGGGGATGTGCTGCACCTCCAGCTGTGTCTGCTCCAGCCAGGTTGCACCCCCAGCCCCAGAACCCTCCTGAGGATTTGGCTTTGTAGATACTGTGGTGCCTTCTTTGGTATATGAAATACCTTTATAAATGATGCTTCCGACCTGCATTGATCGCAAACCAAACCAACCCTGGGCTCTGCTGCAGTTCTGGGCTTTGCTTTGGTCATTTTTCTCATTCTGTTGTGAGCTCTTGCATGTTGTGACTGACTGTCTCTCTCTCTCTTTCTCTCTCTCTTTCTCTCTTTTTTAATTAATTTATTTATTTATTCAATTTTTTTAAGATAAAGTATAAGTTGCTAATTTATGACCTAAAAAAAAATCCAACTGTATATTGCTGTTAGCCCCTGACTGTGTCAGAGAGAGGCTGTCTGCAGTCCTACATTATAATAACAATGATAATAATAATAATAAAACCGGTAACTCTTTCTCTTTGCATGGCGAGGCTGCCCCTTTCTACTCTACAGATTGGTCAGGTCCCTCTTTACTTGAGCAACTGTTCAATAAAAAAAGATTGACTGGATTTTCTGTAAATCTGAAAACTGCTCCTGCAGCAAGAAGCAAATGAAGTCAATTACAAAATTCAACACCGTCACTTTGGCAGTGGCGCCCCAGGGGTGACCCCATTGCCGTCCTCCTGAGGGGACACCTGGCACCCCCGGCAGCCCAGGCCTTCAGGGATGGGACACGGTCACCAGGGCCAGGTGTGCCCCGGGACAGCCTCTCTGCGGGCACCACGAGGATCCAGGGACAGGGACTGCTGCACACCACAGAGCTCATGGACTGCACGCAAAACCAGGAGCTGCCTGGAGACAGGGCCCCCCAACGCCACCTTCAGAGGAGCCATTCCAAGGGAAGAACAAAGTGCACTGGCTTATGAATTTATTCCAAGGGATGGCTTTCAGGAGTAACTTTTTTTTTTAAATGAAATGGTAAAATAAAATAGCAAGTAAATGCACCATTTTATAAGAAAATGCTCCTTTTTGGTTGTGAAAGGAAAGCCTGCGCTGCAGTGTCAGAAGTAAAGTTGTCCCAAACGTGTCTGTGTGTAGTCCATGCTGTTGTGCCTCTCGCGCGGCGGGACGCGGCTCCGGGGGTGCCGGGGCTGGGCTGAGGGGGGTGAGCACGGGATCCCCAAATTCCCCCCAGTGAGCAGGGGAGGGTCCCCAAACCCCCCCGGGGCTGGGCTGAGGGGGGTGAGCAGGGGAGGGATCCCCAAACCCAGGGCTGGGCTGAGAGGGATGAGGGAGCAGGGGAGGGATCCCCAAACCCACCCCAGGGCTGGGCTGAGGGGGGTGAGCAGGGGATCCCCAAACCCACCCCAGGGCTGGGCTGAGAGGGGTGAGCAGGGGAGGATCCCCAAATCCCAGGGCTGGGCTGAGGGGGGTGAGCAGGGGAGGGATCCCCAAATCCCAGGGCTGGGCTGAGGGGGGTGAGCAGGGGATCCCCAATCCCCCCCAGGGCTGTGATGAGAGGGGTGAGGGAGCAGGGCAAGATCCCCAAGCCCCCGAGGATCCCGGGTCCCCCTGAGGGTGCAGCACAGCGGGGCACTGTGCACTGTGGGAGTGGGAGCACTTGCAGGTGCCCCACTGCACAGGGACCCCGGCGCTGGGTACAGCCCCTCCCCAGCCCCTGCCCTAATTCTGGGCTGCTCCTGGTGATGAATTCAAACAGCAGCCCTTAATTAGCAGCTGCAGGGCACGGACTGTGCAGTCAGGGAGATATTCCTCAGACACTCATTTACCTTCACATTAGCTGCAGGACCTTAACCAACTGAAGCAGGAGGACGCAGCCCTGGCTCTGCTCCCTCGTGTACAGCACATTGTGGGTTGCTGGATCTGGCTGCTCCACAAGGCAGAACTCAGTTCAGCTTTTTCAAAAGCCGACTTTCTTTCCCTTTCTTAAGCTTGCTTGGATTTAAGCTCTGCCCTGCTGTGAGTGCTTGGCCACAGAGGGCAGGGCCAGCCAGGGGTCCTCCTGGGCTGCCATAGGAATGGTGCTAGGGAAGATGTCAGCATCCCTTAAATCCAACCTTCCCTCTGGATGAGGATTCCATGGGCTGTCACCTCTGGGGAAACTGGGGACTCTGCCTAAGGGGCTGCCAGGGGGGACCAGCTCCATGGGCCACCAGCAGCACCCCCGGCCAGGAGCCCTGCACATGGGCATGATCGTGATTTTATCCACAGAATAAGCAAATAAATTTTTATGAACATCTGGTCTCCATAAACCAGATCAATTAAAATTAATAGCCATCTTATATAGTGAACGAGCCATAACAAACACATGGCTTCCCACTGGGCTGTGCTGAGCAAGAGGATCCCTCTCTCTTGAGGCTCAGCCTGCAAGTTCTGGCCCTGGCCACCAGCACGAACTGCTGACAAGAAATCATTGTCAGGATGAGGGAAGAAGAGACTTCTTCCCCAGCCCTCGTCTAAGAGCAAGAGACACATGTAAACACAACCAGCAGAAACAAACTGGCTCTGCAAGCACTGCCAGCTGCTGTTTAAGCAACAGATAAAGGAGCTAAACTGGAAAATCATTCTGCTCACCCCCCTGGCCCACATGCTGACCCCACACTGCTCAGTGCCACAGGCCCTGTTCTGCCCAGCACAGCCAAGAATGTAGGCAGTATCACTTCAGTCATTTGCTTTACTCAGAAATTCACAAATCCAACAAAATCCAACACAAATTGGGATTAGGCCTGTACAATCCATATATAAAAAGGGTTGGTTTATTGTAGTTCAAATACATAAACTGAACAATCCCAACATTTCAAAATTAAACTTTAGAAACACAAGTTTAACATTCAAAACAGGAGTATAGTTTACAAGAATTGCCCAGAGGGGGTATGCACAGTCTAATCCAGAAGTATGTAAAGATCACTTTATCGTAAATAAAAATGTGTTTATACAACCGTCCTGGCCTGCTCGGTCACCTCTGGGATTTCCAGCTTCGAGCAAAACTCATTAGACAGAACTTCACTTGGGCAGAGCAACCTGACTGCTGCAAATCGATGGCTGGGGGCAGGAACAGAGCAGCCTGTGAATAAATCTGGTCTGGTCTCCAAGTCCCTGCTCTCCACTCGGCTCTAACCCTGGCTCTAGCAGATTTAGTTCCATTCCCAAGGGTGGAAGCAGAGAGCTGGGCCTGGGGCTCCCAGAGTGGGCTGTCAGTGATCAGCAATGGAAGCGTGTCACCTCCTCCTGCCCGGGCTGCGGGCACCAGGAGGCAGCTGGTGGCACTCGTGCAGGACACGCTCAAACCGCAGCGCCGTCACCCTTGGGGCTCACGCGAGGACACTGCTGAGAGGAAAGCCCCAGGTGCCAGACTCACACCTCACACACACACACCACTCTGAGACCCACAGCCACCAGACAGCCCACACCTTGGGATTTGTCACTCATGCTCCAATTAACTCATAAATATCTTTAATGTGAGTTTTTGTGGTTGGTTTCCCCCCAGAGATCATTCTACGTTCACTAAAGCTGCTTCTGCCTCTGCTCCTCAGATGTTTGAATATATTCACGGCAATGGATGTGTGTAACCTGACAGATGGCTCATGCAAGCGTTTGGATTACCAGACACCCGTGACGAGGAGCACTCGGAGGCTATTTGGTGGTTCTGCGCGTGGGCTCGGAGGCCGTGGGCGGCGGCGGCGGCCCGCGCCGGTCCAGGTCATCCACGTAGGACACGATCAGCTTGCGCCGCTCCTCGGGCACGCAGTCCAGCACCAGGTACCGCTTGTCGTTCTGCAGGATCTTCTCCACGTCCTTCAGGTGCTGATCCGACTCCTGGATCAGCTTTTTGGATCTGAAAGCAAGGGTGAAAGAGCGCTGCAGCGGGCGGGAGGCAGGGGGCTGGGCCATCCCCCGAGCAAGGAGGATGTCCCGTCAGCTGGGGACTGGGCACGGAACGGCGCTCCGGGCACACAACACACAGGCTCGCTGCCTGCACTGGTGCTGTGTTAACTAAGCACCATTAAAGATTTCAGCAGCAGACATCAACTAGGAAAAAACAGGCATCAGTTTGCTGCTGTTTGGATGGCAAAGCAGAATAAAAGCCACGTTCTGCACTAGCATGGCAGTGCCCACCTGTAAGTGATGAATTTGGTCTCTTTGAGCAGCGTCCGGAAGTCGGCTTTGGCAGTGATGTATTTGTCTCGGATGTACTCCTCAAACTCCCTCTGCTTTTTCTGAAAGACCAAAGATAAACACAAATATAAACACTGGGTGCAGCTCCAGTACTTCCTGCAACTGGACACACTGAACACCAGCAGCAATTACATGTTATTTATACTTTTCCTTACATTCTACATTTTAAATCTTATTTAATATTTAATTACTAACACCTGTGTCCACACAGAGCCGAACCCATTGCAGCAACCCTCAAGTCACTTCTCTGTACCCTGCACCAGACTGGAAGTTGGCAAGAGCAATGCAAACCACTCACCCTGTCGCTCGAAGAGAACTTAATGCACCTTGGATCTTCTTTAATGATTTTTTTCACTTCCTTCCATGTTGATGTTAAGGTTATCTTTCAAATTAAGCAAAAACAGTTAAATTAAAAGTAAATTAGACTCTATGAATAAGGAATGCAAACACTACTAACCTCTGAAGCCTTTAAATATATCCCAAGTCCACTGATGAAATTGCTGGGTTCTCATCACTTATCCTATTACAGTTGTATTTCTAATATGAGTTGATTTTACATAGCGACTCTTCTTTCATATTTTGAGATGGCATTTTCAGATCAAGGTTGTCCAAATATCATTTACTTTCCAAAGTCTTTTTCTAGTACATTAAAAATTACCTGCAGAAAGCTTGCCTCTAAACTAAAATAACTAATGCATTAAAAATCAGGTTAAAACCTTCAGTTTAAATGAAAGCTGCCTTAAGCTGGCAGAGAACTAAAAAAGAGGAAACCTCACTAAAACCCCAATGCATAGAATCAGGGATGCATTCCACATAATGAGCAGAGTAAAAGTTCAGGTTCAGCAGGAGAACATCAGGACAGGTGAACTGGGTAAGACCACACTGGTGGCCATTAAGGCAAACACCCTGCATATCTGAAGAAGCCAGACAGTGAAGAGTATCAAATAACTCAGTACTGAAGAAATAAAAAGAAGATTAAAAGATCGCTGATTCAAAGTTTATATGCAAATTAACTGTATGTTCGATCAAAGTAAAACTCCAGATAAACAGGCAAGGAAACATAAGGCACAAATTTTGCTATGAAGGAGAAAAGAGAACAATGAAGCAAAAAGGCCCTGGAAATAAAACCAAACCAATTAGACTGTGGGACAGAAAAACAGAAAAAGAGAAATGCCAGTGGGCTGCAAAGATTGTCAACTTGAACATCAACAGCTCTCACCGCTGAAGTTTCATCCAGAAGTTGCCTGAAATGTTCCCTCTTCTTTTTGGTAAGTGCCTCAATGTGCTCATTGAAGAGCTTCTCCTTCTCCTCTCTCTCGAGCAGGGACCCCGACTCCCAGCGGTGATCTTTGCGCAGGGTCCTCCTGGTGTCAGACCAGGACACATCTGAGGAACGCACCTGAGACAAACATGATTTGCTTTAAACCAGCTTTTCCACAGCTCACTGATAATAATGCTTATTTTTTCATCTCGTTTGAAGTTAAGGTTGAAATAAAACAGAAACCCTTGGCTTTTAAGAAGAGACTGTAGCAGGTTCCCCACACACACTGAACAGGCAGTGGCAGAAGGAATCCCTCTGCACTGGTTCAGAGCAGATGGAGATGTCCCACTGACCCAGCTGAGCATTGCCAAAGCCAGAAAACCCAAGCACCCTCCTTTCCTTCCTGTAACACTCTGCATTCACCAGAGTGCTTGGAAAGGCAGCCTGGAGATCATTATTTCCAGAGACACCAGGAGCTCTGCAGAGTTTCCAGAGCCCTGTTTTTCCAGCCTGGAGAGCACCCTCTGCATGAGACCTCTAAATGCACAGCCTTCTCTTCCAACCAAGGCAAAACTCTCAGCAGGATTTCACCTCTTTGGAGCTGAACTCC